TTCCATTTGTTGAAGCATGCTATAATAGAAGCCCTAGTGTTGGCATATTTTTGACAAGGTTGTGAGATCTTATTAGATAAAGTTCTCAATGATAGTGGAATTGGATCAGTGTTATCATACTTCCAAGATCAAGTAGAACATGTAATCATGCATGCCAGTCATATGATCGTGGCTTCTAAAAACGGAGACTACATGTCAAAGAAAAACTCCTTGCATTTGTGGTCTTTGTAAAACACTATCAGCATTATTTGTATGGTAGAAAGCTCACTGTATGAGTGGACTATGCATTGCTGGAATGGTTGATGAACTTCAAAACCCCTGAAGAGATGATAGCAGACCGCATAACAGTGCTGCAGGAATATAATTTACTCATACATTATTGCTTTGGCCCACAACATTGTAAACGCAGAATGATTATCTCACTGTACTTGGAAACCCTGTCAGTTCATTGAAACACCTTATGGAAATAAATAAAACTTCTGTCAGTGTGATGACAAGCCATACAGAAGGAGTTTCCACTAGTTATTGGATGCCATGATTAATACTTCAGGAACTCCAGGAAGAGCGCTGAAGTATCCAGATCTAACATGGTTGCTCCTTGATGTACAGCAAGGAAAGCATGACCAGCTCAGATTAAGGATGTAGTACAAAGGCATGTAACCTGTGGAACTTGTACAAGTAACTATAAGTGCAGGAGTGTGTTCTGTACCATTGTTCTTTGCTAGCATAAACAGCAGAGAGATATTAGCTGTCTCCTACAGAGAATAACCCTGGATATTGTTGGTCCACTTCCAGAGATGGAACAAGGTCACCTGTATATACTCCTGGTCATTGGTTATTTCACAAAGTGGGCCAAGACTTATTCATTGGTTGATACATCAGCACAGTCAATGACTTATACATTGGTGGAGCACTGGATAACAATAGCACCTGAAGAGATCCACATGGATCAAGTAGCTAACTTTAACAACCATCTGTTTTCTGAGTAATGTAGAATGTTGGTTGTGGTGAAGATGCATATTTTGTCTTGTCATCCTAGTCTGATATTTTAGTAGCATGAATAATACAGACTGTAAAGCATATGTTTATCTTTTTTAATCCTGACCAAACTGACTGAGATTTACACTTATAATGAGTCTTGAGGACATAGTGTTTGAGTGGGAAGTCTTTCTCCCCCTAGGGATGATCTAAGGCCCTCCCCCCTAGAATAGACATCCCACAATGTTCACATGAATACTTGGAGTGATTAAATATGCATGAGTTTGCAGACCAACAGCTATAAAAGGCCACCTTACAACAACAGAGGTGCTATAACAAAATGCAAAGGAATGAATGTACCAATGTGGAGATTGTGTGTGGCTTTGGTACATGTCATCAGCAGGAAAGCCACTCAGCTTTATCTGGACAAGACCTCACCTTGTGTCCAATGAGTTGGTCCATTTAAATACAAAATACAGCAGCTGAAGTGGTAGAAAGTAACACCCACTTGGTAAAATTTTGTAAGTCACACTAAAGCTAGTGCTAAACCTGTAACTGAATGAAGGTTCTTAAGAAGAGATAGTGTATTAAATGGCCTGAAAGAAGGGTTTGCATTGCCTAACCTGCATCAGATCATGTATGTAGACATGAGTTTTCAGTCTTGACCCTATTTCCTTCCTAATGGAAACAGGCACTGTTTACATAACAACCAGACAATAATGGAAGGAAGAGTCCTGGCTCTAAGGGTAAGCTGTGTTTATCATTGTAATGGAAATGGTAACAGAGGACAACTATTGTATTTTTGTTTTGCATTCTTGTAAAAATTACACTCATAAGTACATTATATTAAATATAGTTTCTTATTTATTGAAGACACTGTAGTATTAAGTTTCTCATTAAACATGCACTGCAGTATTAAGTTTCTCATTAAAGATGCACTGCAGTATTACGTTTCTTGTTAGAATTCTTCCCTGTGATATTCTTCTTCAGTACTTTCAAGTTATGGAGTTTGAAATAGTTATGTAAGAGAAATAACCACTCTGGATTTTGTGGAACAATGGTTTAATTAATGTTTCTGCTTTCTGAGAGCAGGTGCTCCTTGTATACTCTGCTAACTAGTAGAGTGGATATAAGTGGATTTGAATAATCAGTTAATCATTAGGCTCATTTATTGATTACATTCATCCGATTGATCATTCTCACATGAAACTAGGATAAATGGAATAATCCAGATTAGTAATAATCAGAAACACTAATTATAATTAGTTGATTATTTTTGAGACATGATATTAATCAGTTGAGCTGAACAATCTTGAATTAATTGAAAATAGTAATGAGAATTCATAATGGCAAAATTTTGATAACTTAGATAGTTGGAATAATCAGAAACAGTAATAATAGGAAACACTAATTTAGAATAGTTGGTTATTTTTGTGCTTTCATGAATTTAATCATAATTTTGATTAACTGATTATCGTACGTGACCGTAAATGATGCTCATAGGTAATCAGTTATATCAAACAATTGATTTAATTGCCCAGTTGTACTGACTGGAGCTGATAAGCATCTTTGTATTATCTGAGGTAGATTATTGGAAATTTCTGTTTTAATCACAATAATGGATTAAATTGCTGCTTTAAAAGTGGTAGAGATAAATACAAACTAATTTATCTGGCAACAGCAACTTCTTTGTCATGGCCTATTTGCTTGCAAATATTTCACTATAGCAATTCAGAATGAGTCATGTTTTTTGGTGTAAACTTTTCACAGTTGTGCCGAGAGTGAAGATTCATCTAGGTTACTTCTTCTACCTCTGTCTTCAACCCTATTTGATTGTAAAATTGGCAGTGTCAGTGCTCTCTCCATTGGATTAATTCACTACATGGTTCTGTTGCTCTTTGTATAATCAATGTTTCTTAAACAGTAAGTGCTATAAGATTGTTTCCAAATATAGTTGATTGGCAGAGATGGAAGCTACTGGTCAGTCTGATGTACATAAATTATCTGTTTTGAGAGTGATGTAAACAGAGGTAATCGGCTGTAAGCTCTTTCTATTTTACTGTCAAAAATACAAATCATGACAAAGCAAAATATTAAGAAAGTAGTGATGTTGATCATAGAGTTTGAGAATTAATGTGCAAGTATTTCAGAAACTTTATAGTTTTGTTATAGAATATATATTGAGAAAAGTGTCGTATTTTATGAAATGCATTTCTGGATAGAATTTTAAATGCCTATTGGTGGTATTGTATTTTTAGATTAGGAGGTTCTAACCATATGCCACTTAGCTAGTAGTAACTATATATCTCATGATAATCAAATGTTTCAGAAATAAACCTACTTTGAAAACACAAGTTCTTTGCCTTTTATAATTAGTTCTGAGTCCAAGAAGCAACATCATACAGTTTCATTCCTGACCATAGTCCAGTTTACATGTTTTCAGAGAAATAAACTACTGGTTATAAGTTTCATGACACTCTGCCATTCATCCACAAGTGGCCATTAGCAAATGATTGTAAAACATTTGTTTAAATAGAATTGCTGCAAAACGAAAGATAGGACCAACTACAGTAAAGCGAATGATATTCATATTATTAGAGACCAAATCTATATCATTAACATAGCTATTTATGGAAATAATGGCTGTTACATTAATAATACAATTAAAGTAAAGGTTTTTTTTTTTCATGTGCAGTTGTTTTCACCATTAATATGTGTGTGTTTATTGGTTTATTAAGAATTAAGAGTGAGTAGGTGTCAAGAATAACCATTTAGTTTTTTGTGGTGAGTGATAAAATAATTGATAATTAGTCACTGTGATGGGCAGTGGGTTTTCTTATTAGAAAGGCTTGAATAATGTTTTAAAATATGTATCCAATAAAGCTGCTTAGATGAAATTTCAGTTGTTTTGTATTCTGTTTTTATTGCTTATAGCACAAAATATCTACCAAAGTGATGAAGAGAAGAGTAGTCACAGTTGGGATAAGTTCTGAGATAGTTGCGCCTGTGAAGTTAATGTTTTTAGGAATTTCTTTCATTAAATAATTTTAGCAATATTAAACATTTTTCCAGTAGGGACCATTAATTGTTGTTGAGGTTGGGAATGATGTTGTCAGTGGCATAAAAGCATGTTGTTCTTTTTTGTTTTAAAAGTTTTTCAAGGAAGTAATATGTTGAAGTACATTTTGTAGAAGTTTTTTGAAGCATATTTAAATTATTATCTATAGCTGTTAATTTTGAATGTGTATCAGCCTTTCTACAGACTATTATGAGATCAACTGTAGCTTGCTGGGTTTACAGAGTACACATGATCACAAGGTGTAATGTAGGGAGGAAACATGATTTGCTTGATAATCCAACATCATTAGAACCTTTCACAATATTTGCTCTATTATCTCATGTTAGGGTGGTGAACATTTTATTTTCAATTCACCATATATTCCTTAGATATTCCAACATCCTCAATATCGCTGAACATTAAGAGCAGCATTTTGAAAATCCAGCACTCTTTGAAACTAACAAGATTGTTGTTGTTGAGCATGACCAGATATCTAGGTGACTGTAATTTTGTTACTTTAAAAATGTTTGTAACCTGGAACATGTTTATTTTACAGACTGTGTATTGGAGTAGTAAAAGGTGCTGTCCATTTACCAACTTATAAATTTTAATTTTCTCCACAATTCACATTTTACTTTAAAATCAGCAAGTACTTCAAAGTAATCCAAAACAGATTGAATTTTGTATTGCATATGATAATCAGTGAACACAGAGGTTGTCACTGAATCATTCATCACAACACTGATATTTTGACTTTGTCAGGAATATGCACAGTGTATGTTAGTGACTTAACTGTGAAAATTATATTGATCTTCAAATAATAAATGATGCTTAACTAATTCATAAGTATATTTTTTACCTTCTCACACATATCCTTTATACTTCTACATTTTAACATACTTTGCTCAATAGAGCTTGATTTTAGATAAGTTTTGTTTATTTAGAAGTATTATTTTTCTTTCAGCTAACAATTTTCAGACTTATCAGTCTTGCACTTGCTTTAGTCGAGTGCATAATCAGTAAAGGCAGAATGCCAGCAGAAGAAGCTGTTGTGACCATTCTCCATTTCAATGATTGTTACAATGTGGAACCCCAGCCCCAAGAACCAGTGGGTGGAGCTACAAGGTTCTGTACTGCTTTAAAGAGTTTTAGTGACTTGGATCCAATGATTCTGTTCAGTGGTGATATTTTTGCTCCATCAATAAGTAAGTGAATGAGATTGCTGTAAGAAAAAAAAAACATTATATATGTAGATGTTTTTTTCTGAAAAATTTAATAATTTAATAGTAAATAAGAATTGGAAATATATCAAATAAGTGATAATTACCTGTAAGACCTTAAAATGTAGTTTTTGCATAATTAATTTCCTGGAATTAAGGCAATCATTAGAATTTATATATATTTATATATACATTTACATACACACCAAAGCATATTGAACTAAATACTGTTTGGTATAAGAAAATTACACTAATATAATCATACTATTCAAATAGTTGTTTTTGTGATCATCATAATAAAAAAAAGGTTGTAGGTGAATCCCAAATTTTACATACATCAGAGCATGCAACATGCACTGGAACATGATTAAATCATTGTGATAATGTATTATAAGAAGTTACTGAAAAGATAAAAATATATGAATACTGTTTTTGTTAGCTAAAGATACATGCACTCATTATTTGTAGTAGTCTTCAGAATAACCTAGAATTTAAAACCTTGAAGAAGTAACCTCCAAAATCAAACACAAAATGAAATATTGATTCTTTTTACCATGGCAACAGTATAAACTACCACTGTACATCTACCACTTGTGATTAATATTGAAAGTTTATGTTCAGCACTGCATGCTACACAACAGTATAGTGTATCTGAAGAAAGTCTAGAGAATTAATGATGTGACTGTTTCATACAGGAAAGAGTTTGTCTTATAATGGACTAAGAGCATTTGTACAAGTTAAGGCAAAATATATGTACAAGTTTACTGTATAAATTATTAATTTACAAATGTAAAATTATAGCAGACTGGTACTTTGTTTCTCACTGGAATTAATTCAGTATATTTTCATTAGGGATTAATTGGTCATATACTTAGTATAGGAATGAAATTAAACATTAATACAAACTTTCTTGGTGTTTTTTACCATGAATTATTATGCTTTGTATGAAACACTTTTTAATATAAGATAACCAAAACCTACTTTATGCATTAGGCTTGATACAATCTTGAATCTGTAGTAATCAAATGACAAGAATTACTAATTGTGCTTGGTACTAAACATTTCTGAAAACTTCTATATATTTTCCAGACAATAGTGATTAGGATTAATACCATACATTCTGAAGATATTATTACTAAATAACTTATCAGTCATAATTGATACTAATTGTTTTAGAAGATTTAATAATCAAACAACCACATTACCAATCATAATTGTTATTGAATATTTATGAAGAAATAAGTAATAAACAATGAACATTAACACCTGGGGTTAATACTGAAAATTAAGAAGACATAATTATATAATATTCATAGTTGGTATTGATACGAAAATTTTATAAGAAAATAATCAAATAACTAGAGCTATTAATAATGCATAGCCTACAATCATTATTTGTATTACTTGAAAACATTTTTATAAACAGAGGTGCACCCTATTTTGTAGACTGCTGTTTTTTGTGCTATTTTTTTTCTATCTATTTGGGTTGCTGCTATAATGGAAGTAGTAGAACATGAGGAGAGACCTACACAGAGGAGGTGAAAAGATTTGTTTTTGGTGAAGCACGCTTTCTCAATGTGAGAACAAGACTAAATAGCTTGGCACTGATACAAATCTATTTTAGAAGGATTAGTTTTCAAGTGTTACCTGATTTTTATGTATTGACTGTAGGTGCTCTGATTTATTAATTTTGTTTTCTCTTTTCATGTAGTTATTTAAAATTGCTTAAATATAGCTTAACCATGTTGTGTGTACATAGATATGATGTGAACATATTTTGTTTTATACCTACCTACACACACACACTCATGTATACAAACATACACACACACACATCTATATGTTTTTGTTTTTAAAGAATTAAGATTTGTGTAAGGTAGGCCTATGATTTAATTCCATGTAGGTTTATCTCTTATTGTAAGTCACAAATTCTTTAGCTAAAATTCACATCTGTGTGCCTAACTTAGATATGGATTATTATATTGAAGCTATGTGCTGTTTAAAACAAATCATTCTGAAGGCTGTTTTTTATTGTGTTTTTGAATAGAAACGATTATGGAAGTTTGCCAGAAATGTAACTGTAGAAAAAAAAGTTATTTTGACACATCTGTTGCAACATAAGACAGGTAGTGTCAAGAGGATTTTTTCAGTTTGCCGGAAACTTGGATTTCTAGAAGGCTTTATTTCTTTTTGTAACAAATGCAAAAAAATCCGAAGCATAGCCTTTGTTGATTATATAGAAGTCTCAGGACACCAAAGATTACAACTAGAAAAGAAACTGGCAAAATATCAAAAATGGAAGGAATGTATGTTATTATACAGCTGAACATCAGTATATTGAGTAACACTGTGCACATGACTCACTGAAATAAAAACCAAGCATCTCTCAGCTAGAAGATGATTTCTTTATATACGTATATATAAATGCTTTGTAATGATAGGAAATAAATGTTGGATTAATATTACACCTTTATGTTGTATTTGGTTTTATTTCAATATTTGAATAATAAAGGCCAAATTATAACAGAAAAGTAATTTTTGTTAGAAAAAACAAACTGTATAATTGGACAGTTTAAAATTATATAAAGAAAATGTAAGATTTATTACTTTTATACAAAGATTCCAAAATGCTTATTGAAATATTTTGCAAGGTATTGAAATGTTTACAAGAGGGTCAATACATTCTGCTGAGAAATCCATCAATATTCATTTATACAATCATGCCAGTCTACTTTCATGTCTTGGGTCAAAAACACTCCAGCAGTCACCACAGTTTTTTGTAATTTATAGTAACTTAAGGGACATCAAGCAAATATTGATGGATGATTGAATGACACTTCTTCACATTGGTTGCCTTTATTTCTAGGTAAACAATGGATGATGTCCTAATGAACCAGTGCTTTTCCATCTAATTTTGTGATTGGTTAGAATGGGGTTTTTACTTACATAAAGGACTTCTTGCATCACGCATTGGAAGCTACTGAGAATGTACTCAACTATGATGTTAATAAAAACAACCTTTGGCCCCTGTTGAAACAGAACAGCTGAACCCCACTTGTTTCTAGGTGACATCCAAAAAAATCATGTGGATGCATACAATGCTGAGCTAATATTAACTATTACAAGTACTGGGGCAAGATGGCCAAGCCTAACATTATAACAAATGATAGGCTTGACCACATAAATCTTTATCAATATTAAGGGTAAAAGTGGTCTACCCCCCCCCCCTTTCCCATATGAGTAAAGTCCAAAACCTTTCGAGGAAAATTGTAAAAAGTTTAAAACTTCATTTTTATACTTACTGAAACCAATGTATTATAAAAGTCAAAGCTATTATTATGAGATAAATGTTTATGAATTCATACAAGATGAGCAAGAATTGAGAATTCTGTGTTTGTTACTAGGTGAAAGAAAGTGATAAAAAGAGAAGGGAAGATAGGTGTTAAGGAATGGGTTTTATGAACAAAAGAAAATGGTGATAAATGATTTCAGAGAAATCCTGTTAATAGAGGAAATTGGACTAGTATTTTGGGATGACATGTTTAATGAGCAAAAAGAAGGATTTTTTGGGGTTTCTGAGAATGCTGATTATAAGAAACAGAAAAAAGGTTTGGTGTTCTAAAATTTATTTCTCACTGTATCAGTATGTGTATTTCATCTTCACAGCCAGTGATGTTGTTACCATGCACAACAAAAACAAATAGCTCAGTAATTAGGGCCATGATTCTGTTTTAAAGTCCATTTTTACAAGAGGGTCAATACATTCTACTGAGAAATCCATCAATATTCATTTATATAGTCATGCCAGTCTATTTTCATGTCTTGGATCAAAAACATTCCAGCAGTCACTACATTTTTTGTAATTTATAGTCCTTATTTCATAACATCTTTGTACACCTTTGAACTTGCCATTTTCTCACATTTTTCATGGCTTATTCTAACCTTTTGTTTGTTCTTTATTTATGTAATGTCATTTGGAATGTGAAGTCTAAATGTCAATTGATTATTGGTTTTCTGCATACGATGCATATCATTTTTATATGTGTCCTGCATTGATTTGTAGTTAATTCAAAGGGTCAGTATTATAGAAAATGTTCAAAAAATTCTGTTAAAAATAGTGTCAGTGTTTAAAGTTTCACCATGTTTATTATAACCTAGTAATTCTTTTAATAAAACAAAATACAATATTAAGGGTAGTTTATTGTTTTCACTGTGCTACTCTTTACATAAAATGACATTGTTTGAAACACCTTGAGAACAAGTAGAATTTGTGTAAGATGAGTAAAACTTTTATATCATTTGCACTACAGGATGAGTGGCCATTTACAAAACAAATGTCAAGCCTTGTTTATCCTTATTTTATGAATCTTGAGCAGAAGTTTCCATACATCTCTGACATTTAGGATCCTGCAATACATCATAGGAGCTAGGAAAGTATTTAACTAAGTGAGGAGCAAAGGGGTGATTCTTACCTTGCCCCAAAAACATTTGTGACCTAAGTTTCAATCTTGTGCGAGTTATGTATTTTAGATCTAAACAAAATACACACAAACACACTGTTTTTTGTGCAATTTAATCTTTATGATGCTTTGAAGGTGAACCAACCACACAATTTTTTCTGAATGATGTAAAATTACATAAGGATCATGGAATTTTTTAATGTCAAGTTGCTATCTTGGAAAACAAAAGCCTACTTGCCAATGCATGTCTATCAGCTGGTGGTTAGACATCTGAATCCTAAATCTTTTAAGAATCATCTCAGTTTAGACTTCCATTACAATATTTCAATTTCATTTGAAATTCAATTGTGGTATCAATCTTTTCTGTGATTTGTAATTGTCTCAAGTATTTCTATATATACAAAAAACACCCCTTTTTTATTTAAAAAAATCAATAAAAATTCCCAGATATCTAGGTGCCATGGTGAGCTAGCATCTGGGATTCAGCAAGCTCCACTTTTGATATAAATTTTTGAATGCTGTAATTGACTACAGTATGTAGGGTTCTAGATATAATAAGTACTTTGTGGATCTCCATTACCTGACCAAAGAGTTACATGAATTTCAATTCTTTGATGAATTCTAAATATTGTTTTTTTATTTGGTTTTTACTTAATTTTAGAGTTCCATAGGGTAGCTCATGATAAATCAAAGTTAATAGAAGGGAGTTCTAGGTTGAACTCAAGGTTAGATAATTGAAACTTATGGTTCATCAAATTAAATAAAACAATTGGTTCTAAAAATATTGAAAACAAATATAATGGTCCATATCTTGATATAGTTACTTAGGGAAGAATTAATTTATGTGATAATTTTGAATTGTTCTGCTATTTTATTTTTGGTTTAAAATGCATTAATTAGACCCTCGAATGAATGCTGACTCATAATAGATGTTTTGGAAAAGTGTGAATTTAGAATTTTCTTTCAATGTAAAATATGGAGTAAGTAAACTTTAATTTTGCAATTGTTTCCATATTTCAATTTCATTTGTTTATTTTTAGGAGAAAGAAAAGTTTAAGATTTTGATACATGCATGTGAAAATAAGAAACATTTGTTTAATTTAAGGTTCTCTTTGAATTTTATAGACTGATGTATTTATGTTAAATTAAATTTTTTTTTTTTCATCCATTTTAGTGAGTACCTTCACAAAAGGAGAGCAGATGATACCTGCCCTGAATGCTTTTGGTGTTCATTGTGCTGTGTTTGGAAACCATGACTTTGGTTGGTTAACTTTTTATTTGGGAGACAAACATTTCATTAGTGCTATAGCAGAAAAGGTCAACACATAATAACTTATTTCTGTAATCATTGTGTACATATACCTGTGTAGCTGTCAGATTGATAGTAACCACTCATATGTCAGTTAACTGTTTTTCAGAATTACTTAGTGTTTTTGACTAATTTATATAATTAATGTACTTTATCAGCCATGACAATGTAATGCTGTTTATTATGTTAAGTTTTCTGTTTTATATAACTGCAATAACAAATGTTTATTAAATTATTTTGTCTTGCATCAAATTATGCTAATTAAACTAACAGAAAAATCTTAAGTTGGCCGAAGTTTAACAATTTGTGAAAAGAAACTAATTTGACTGTTATAAGCTGTAAAGTTTTATAACAATCATCCAATTGGATAGTTTTATTTTTCTCCAGCTAAATATATAAACTGTGTAAAAGTATGGTGAAATTTTGAATCGGATGTCAAACCTTCTGGAAATGTAATTTTGTAGGTTTAATTTGCTATACCTAGAAAAGTACAAACTCAAATTGTAATTTTAATAATTTATTGAACATAACAGGTATTATTTTCATGTGTACTTGAAGAAATTCTCAATATATATTCCATTCTATTTTTCCTCTCCTTTATTAAATTCTTCAACCGACTTCATGACTTTAATGATCACTCTTCAGGATATAATTTTACTGAGCATCTGTAACAGAAACATTCAAATACCATTTTTCAACTAAACTTAAATAATCTAAATTGAATACATATTTTCCAAATGTACAAACATATAATACACTCCATGTATAAATTTAGTACATTAAAAATGCTTACAAATGAATAAAATTAGTCAATATATTTTTCATTTTAAATTAGAATCTTATTCTAATTATAATTTTTCTTGTTATTATAGAAATGCAATTTATTTATTCAATAATTTTGTACATCATACTTCTTAGTTTATTGTCTTTTCTGTAAATCTTAGTAACAGTTTTCATGGTTTTTATATAACCAGTTACTTCTGCTCTGTTACTTCTATGTATTTAAAGTGGTGCCAAAAAATGTATAAAATATTTTTCAAAAAATAATCTTTTATGTTTCATATTACATGCCCAAATTGGGAAAAATGTAAAAATATGATTCTTTCAGAATTGTAATTTTTTTTTCAAAATACATTCATTAAAATATTTACAGTAGGCTTTTTTCAGGACCTCTAACATGGAATTTATCTACATTTATTTCTAGTCCTAAATTATCTGTTTCAGCAATATAGAATTCACCACAATTTACACGTTCTGAAAGATACATGCTTAGAATTGCAATTAAATGAGTTATTAATGAAAAATAAAATTTCTTTATTATTGTTCTTTATTGTTTTGGTAGTTTTCATGTAACCTAAATTACATAAAACACAGTTATTTCTTTATAAAAATCTCTAGGTTTATTTAATAATCCATACACATTTTTAGGTTGTCATTTTGGTAAATTAATGTTATTATCTCTGAATACATCTTTCAATTTTTTATCTATTAATTGTTTTAATTGTGTATTAACAAATGAAATATCAATGTATATTTGGAGAATGAATCACTAGAAGAAGTATAATATTTTCATTAGGTTCATTAATCTTTCTGTTTAAATGTTTTTTATTAAAAACATTATTCTTAGCAGTTTCAAAGTACATTAATATAACTTTTTCTGGATAGTGACACTGAACTAAGAATTTTTATAGTTATAATAACCTTGATAACTCTTGTTTCTTCATTGACTGTAATCCATTGAGTTTTGGGTGCACATACTTCTCCATCTGCCAAACACATCCTCTCTGCTTACTTGAGACATCATCAGTTGGATCATGCCCCTTCATGTAGTCTATTGTCAGACCTGTTATTTATTGGAATTTCTCATACTACTCTCGATTACCTTCAAGTGTAGCTCATTTGTGAGTTTCCTCTTTTATTTTAAGTTCTCCAGATCTGGATCTTTTCACAATGCTTCTCTCTAGGTCTGTGGTGATGTATATTGGGAGATAGTCATCTTTAAGGTTTGTAGTATTCTCAGATATCCCATCCTCACATCATTCTGTTGGAGCTTTGAGCTGTTCAACATGGATGTCAGAAGCTCCTGCCTTTTTAACGACGCTGCTGTGTTTTAGTATTCACAGAAAACTTGAATGTGGTGATATATATATCAAGAGGCAGGGTGGGTCTTAATTTCACAATGCTGTGATTTTTCTACTTTGGCTACATTTGCATCACATCTTTCTCTTGACTGATATTTCATTGGTTGTGCCAATGATTTGGTCTTCATATACTTGATGCATTTAGAATGACATTGCATTATTGTCTATGCTTTAATATTTTTTAGTTTCTGCTGAATTCTATTTCTTGTCTTTCTCCAACTTCACAGTAGCCTGCTTCATTTCCTCATTTATTTATTTTTCATGTACCTTGGGACTTGTCTGCTTCTATTGTAGGCTACAGAGCTGAATTGTCAGCCACTTTCAGTTACCACAGAAGTCGTGTACCTCTGTCTGCCTCACTTTTACGGGTTCATTTTCAAGCTTTTTGATTATGTCTCCCACAAGTATCTAGACATTGTCTTCATAGAGGTGGAGTTAAAATGTATACTAATACAAGATTATTAACTGCTTTACTTGATTTTGATAATTTTACAAAGATTACTTGACCTTTAATTATTGACTGCTAGGCTGTGTCTTCAATAAAGAAGAAATGATGGGAAAATAAATATAGGAGCATTGAAACTTCACTCAATGCTGTGTTTTATGGCAGTTGGCAACCTATCCTAAATGTCATATTTAATGAAATTTATGCTATACTGTTTTCTCATTCTTTTTGTTATGATATCCTGAACTTTTATTTGTTAATGTTATTGAAGTACATTTAATGAATTAGTGCAGAGGGTTCTAATGAAAAGTAAGAATAAGCATACAATATTATAGCCCACTGAGCTTAGCTAAATATAAGATTAGTACTCTCATATTTAATTTTTGAGTTCAGTATTTTGTAGTAGAAGATCATAATGTTTTCTTGGTACATGTGTTACTCTGATAGGTGGTTCATTATGGGGAAGTTACATTAGCCTTTATTAACAACTTATGGAATTGGAGCATATGTAGTGATACTTTCCTTATAAATTCAGTTTATTGTGGAAAACAGTATTACATAATCCCACTTTTTTTTTTTACATAGATCTTCTAACTCCAATTTGACATACCAAAACATGTTCTGAATTATAATAAATAAATTTTGTTATTATAAATTCATTCAAAAATAAATAAGAGTAGGTGTCTTTAAGTCTAACTTAAGCTTTTTCTGTAAAATCCTTAGTAATTTTGAAGAAAATGAATTTTCAGATTTTGGGGTGGACAATCTGTCTAGTTTTGCTAAACAGACAACATTTCCATGGCTGATCAGCAATGTAATTGACAATGATACAAACCAGCCCCTGGCAGATGGACAGGTAGTCTTCATCATGGAGCGAGCTGGGAAGAAGGTGGGAACAGTGTTTATATTATGACCTAGTTTATTCATTTAATCATTCTTTTCATTGTTTAATTATACAACATTCTGTGTATTTCAAAATGTTCTTGTAACTTAAATGTAATATCATTCAAAGCTGTATTCTTTTATTGGAAATAAATCAAAAGATAATTTTAAAGGTAGAAAAATCTTGTATTGTATTTAAAAAAAAGGTTTTATACATATATACTTACAGTTTCAACCAGTTTTCTGGATCAAACAGTGAAAAATAACATCACTATTAAGTAAATGAAACTTTAATCACAAACTCTCCAAAATACTAGTTGTATAATGTATTATGCCATTACTTTGTTTTTGAAATTGTTGCTATTTAACAGTGTTATCAAAATCAAAATATGTAAGACTAATGGTTATATTTTCTAATGTTAGTGCATCTGATTGAAAATAATTATTAGCATAGAAAATTGTAAAAATGTTATTCATACAGCTATAAGTATTACTACCAAGTTAATTTAGATTTATTTAGAGCATTGTTAGGTATCAATCAAATGTTAGCACATCCATTGAACAACTCTTTGTATGGTGTTTAGAATTTTAATTAATTCTTTAAGTTTCAACACCCAGGTGTGAGTCAGTAAGACATGTTTAGTGAGTTGATTCCCAAACAAAGCTGTCTATTATTCTTTTTTTTAACTTCTTAATAGAGATTTGAATCTGGAATTTGATTTAGCCAATAGCGTGGCCAAATTAAAAATAGTTTCCAGACTATGAGGGAGAAAAATACATACCCCAATTCAAAATCCCACACAAAACATGGGAGTGTTAGTCAATACAACATCTGGTTCCTCAGCTCTATAAAGCCTTTTTCTCTGTGAGTTTCATAAGTTCTGTCAATATAGATGGTTGGGGAAAGTTTACTTGCCACTGTAATATGGCAAAGTGCTGTACCTACCTGAACATAAACACTTTTACTATTTTGTACAAATGGAGCACAGCTTGTCCAACCCCCTAAACTCTGCAATTCATGATCAAACATTATTGAAAAAGGAGTTGTTTTGGCAGTAAAGTGTGGTTTTATTTCTAGATTATCAAATTGAGCTGTTTATCAGAGTTCTTTTTTTTAATTCTAACTTGAATACTGAAAACCATGATACCCCTCTGTATCCCACCTAACCCCCTGAAGTCAGTCTCACTCATTGACTTGCAGACTGGGTGTTAAACACAAACAAACAAAAATCAGATCCTCTAAATCATCTTTTTGCACTGGTGGTACTTAGCTTGTTATGTTACTGTAAATGAAGATTAATCTTTTGTTCTGTTGTTCCTCTTGTTATTACAGTTATTATTCTTACCTAAAAATACCATCATGTAAGCACTAAATAATGGTCTACAAATTTGGTCTCATTGACTTGCCAACAGGATCTTAAAATGTAGAAACAATCTCTTAAATAAATCTATTGATTTATTTAATAAGTGTTAGTAAAGATCAAGTTTTAATAATTCTTTATGCTCAATATATATAGTTGACATATTTTCCAGCTTTGAAGGAAATTTATAAATTAAAAGGAAAAACAAAAGTTTTTGTAAATTTCAAAGGTACATTAGAAATAAAAATGCTTAGAACTTTATTTCAGTTGCATCTGCAAAATCCAATCTAAGCAGCATACTATAGTTAAATTCTTTTTTTTAGGATCAGATGTAGTAATGATTGATAGGAAAGTTATTACAAAATATAGATGTATATACAAACATAAATCTAACTTCTTTTTGTTTTAGTTTGGAATAATTGGTCTGGTAGAAGAAGAATGGTTAGCAACACTTGCTACAATAGACCCAGATGATGTCACATACGTAGACTTTGTCTCTGAAGGTCGTAAACTGGCTCGGCAACTGAGAGATAAGGTATGCTAATGTTATAAGTAACAATAAATCGAATAGTTGAGTTTATTAGCAAAGTTTTTTTTTATGACCTTTTGTTTATGAAAACCAAAGTAATGTTTTTGTTCATTACCCAGACCAGGATATAACTACAAATTACTTAAGTTCTCTGTGATCTCTTATAAAAGCAACTACAAATTTTTTTATACATTTATATCCCAGTTGTGGTATTATGTATAGGTAGTTTAAAATTCCCTAAGAATTTCATTGTAATAGAAAACATGTTTAATTTTGTAATTTATTACCAAAACCATGGTTGCAAGTATGCATTGGTACAGTCAAAGTCACTGTTTTCTTTCTATATATTTAATCCTGTTACATTCTAGAATTAACTTTTTTTAGCAGTTATATTGCTCCTTGTTACAAACAACCATTAGGGATAGTCACCAAATTTGTTATTGGCCATTTATACGTCTGAGTTCTGGAAATAGTATATTGTTAGACTTATAACCTCAAGAACATTAATGTTATTGGTAATGTAACCTATAAACATAACCTCAGTTAAACAGGATTAATTTGTAACTGTACCACCTACAAAAGAAACTTTAAATATGTGAAAAAAGCTATTCTATTGTAATATTTTGCATTCAGTATCATTTAGAAATATCATATTTTTAACTAAAATTGATTTTCAGCTCTACAGTGATAGCCACATTTTTGCATTCAAAGACAATGTGTGAGGTATGTTAGTTTAATGAATGTAGTAGAGATACAGTACAGTTGTCATCTAATCCAGATTTAATGTAAATGAAAATACATTAAAATAGGATTAGTTTAAACATTTAAAAAAAAAAGTTTATTTTTACTGTTTCCACATACTCAAATTTTTGTTTACCTCTTATGCAAAAGGATATTTCTTTTTGTAACAAACTTAAATGGATGCCCACTTTGTTTTTTTTGTTCCAAAACAAAAAGTCAGTTGTGTCACAACTGTTAATTTCAACAGTTGCAAATCGATATAATAACTAAAATGATACTTGTAACATCATTATACAATACTATAAAAGCCAGAAATGATGAATAATTACTGTAGCACACATACACTGTAAAATTTCAGGTTAAAGAAACTTCCTCTTACTGAATGTCATCTTGACTTAGTTAAGACAAGATTGTTTTATACCTTCTTGATTTTAGATACTGGTTATAAGTTTGGAACAGTGGGAAGTAAAAAAAGTATGATAGTGTTATAACAAATTTCATATTTAGGTTTAATAACTTCTAAAATAGATGAGGAACCAACTGATTTTAATTATAAATCCACTAATCTGATAATGGAGGAGTCTTGATGGATATTTCTACTTAAAATTGAGGTTCTTGAGATGTATTTTTGCAGTGATAGATTTATATCTGTGTGTAAATTTTTGAGAATGTGTTTATGATGGAGAGAGAAAGATGATATTAAATATCCTACATTACTAAGATGGTTAACTCCCTATAATTTCAAGCATAATGAAATTTGAACCATACCATTTGGCAACTTGTTTTATAACACTTTCCAAGTTGCCTGTGAAGCTGCACACACTATGGTGTTCAGCTGCTTATAACTTACAATTAGGAATGTTTTTTCTTATATTTGATGTGAGATCATATTATTAGGTGAAATAATATAATATCTGTGTAATGTTAAAGCTTTTGAGAGTATTAATTCAAATAAGTGGGGGCATTTTTAATGGTACATGTTTTAAGAAGTGTCATGAACCATGATAGTGGTTCTTAATAGAGATCACACAAGAATTTGCATAAAACTCTAATATAGCATTTGGGGAAAAAAAAACACTTTAAAAAGCAGACTTATTCTTGAAACAACACTCAAAATTTTCCTTTTCAATATTTAAGACCACCCAAACATTGATAATAAACAAAATAATTCATTTCACAATTGTTAGACAAAATAATAATTTGCCCATTTGTTCATATTATTGTTATTCATGTTATTGTTTCACAAGCCTACAGCAAAATTGGCTGGGTATTTTACACCAAAACTTAGACAGATAAAGTATATGAAATGGTTTGAATGTCTATGACTTATTTAAAAGTTGATTACTTTTCATTGAAAATAAATTTATGTGGCTATAAATACACAATATATATATGATGTTGTGAGTGGCTTCCTTTTTTACTCGCCTCTTGTTAAATATGTGTTTACAAGAAAGCTCAGGCACAAAACCACCTGGCTTGGTAAATAATAGTTGGGTGGAAGTAAAGCCAATGTAGTAGTAAACTGTTGAAAAAACATGTAACTTTGAACTGAATATAGCTTAAAATTTATTCTCCATAAATGGACATAAAAATATACTTAAGAAACAAAATAATTAAAAACTCTTAATTTAAAAAGGGGGTAAAAGGGATCATCAAAAATGTACAGAAACAAGTTGAATCAAAATGCAAATATTATATTTTCAAGCCTACAACAAGGGTTTCTAAAAAAGTGAACAAACTATGCTGGAAATAGTGTCTACATTAATTTCTCAAGCTATAAATCCCTATTTTGACTTCACTAAAATTGATAAGTACTGTAGACAGTTTTTGCTAATCTTGTTCATAATATGAATTCCTGTGATATAATGACAAATGAACATAATACAAGCACTTGATATTGTTTGCAGTAAATACATGGATTATCCAGTATTAGATTGAGTATTGATTATTGAATTATGTGAAGTAGGCATACATATCAACATGTTTGTCACTCATAAAGCACATCATTAAAACTTATCAATACAAACAAGTGATTCAATGGAGAAATTGTTGATACACAGGATTACTGCATAGTAAAGCATCTTATTGTGATACAAAGCTAATAGTTACCATGTATATTACACTTTAAAAATGCTTTAATTTCAAAAGCTTACAATTCCTTTTATTAACAGAACAGCTTTCAGAATTAGGAAAATTGTATGTTTTTAGGGAATGGTGCAAACTTTATGTAGTGAGTGGCTGGTAGGAAAACATATTTTATGTATTTGGCTGCTATACATTTTGGTAGTTATTTTACATTCACAGTCATGAAACAGTGGACATATAACAACTGTGAAGAATACTGTGAGAGTTAAATACCATGTATTTGGCTGCTATACATTTTGGTAGTTATTTTACATTCACAGTCATGAAACAGTGGACATATAACAACTGTGAAGAATACTGTGAGAGTTAAATACCATGTATTTGGCTGCTATACATTTTGGTAGTTATTTTACATTTACAGTCATGAAACAGTGGACATATAACAACTGTGAAGAATATTGTGAGAGTTAAATACCATGTATTTGGCTGCTATACATTTTGGTAGTTATTTTACATTTACAGTCATGAAACAGTGGACATATAACAACTGTGAAGAATACTGTGAGAGTTAAATACCATGTATTTGTTGACACTACATATTTTATAATGTTAAAATGGAAGATTAAAGTGTATGGGCAAATTGGGAGATGTAACAAATATCAAGAAGAAAGAAAATAATAATCATGATTTGAAGTTAGGAAAACTTATTGTAGTTGGTAATTAGTACGTTTATTAAACACATACAAAATATGGAAGGATGTCACTCACTTTGTCAGCTTTTGTTCGTATAAATAACCAGAATGTTATATGCTTACATGCAAAGGCATATATATGGCAACCTACTTGAGCAGCAGCTGTGATAGCATAATTGCTTTATATCAAACCTTCCACTTGGAGTTCTGTGTTGACTCTGATTACACTTGTTTGGGTTGATTGGACCATATTAGCAATATAGTGTGTTTGGACGTAGATAAGGTGGAAATGATAGATTTGGTAAATGCATCTTTTCTCTCCAGGAGGAAGTTGATTATGTTATTGCATTGACTCACATGAGATGGCCCAATGATTGTCGACTTGCTGAAAATGTGGATGAGATAGACCTTATTCTCGGAGGACACGACCATGATTATGATATAAAAAAGGTAATTTAAATATAGTTTACTCAAATTTAAAATCTAAAATATACCTGCTTGTTGATGTACCTGAAGCAGTATGTGAATTGTGCTCTAGACAACTTTGATGTATTTGTATATATAATGTTTAAAACTAACACAGTATTTTAACATAGAAAGTAATTATATTTTCACCAAAAATTATCAAGAACTTGCTACTTCATTTTGTTATCAGCTAAACAGTTACTTTATAATTGTTTTATAGGAAGAAAAGCTTTATATATATTTATATATTGTCCCCAATACTACTGCATGAAAAAAAATCATTCAGATTATTTAATATTGTTACTTAGACATGTAATCATCAAGTTAGAATGTGTATCTTAAAAAAAGTTTGAAGTTTTAACTTTCCTGCTCCTTCAAGTCCCTGTCACTGTCTAAATTTGAGTTAAAATTTTTGTTTTCTCTTGTCTAAAAGAAATATACATTGAGAATGACTGACAGAACTAAAATGCAACTGCAGCTTCTCATGTTAATGATCAGCTAGGTCCAAAAGTAAAGGGAGAATTTAACCAATGAAATCTATTAACTACAGTATTAAAGAGCACTAGATCAGCTAGGTCCAAAAGTAAAAGGAGAATTTAACCAATGAAATCTATTAACTACAGTATTAAAGAGCACTAGATCAGCTAGGTCCAAAAGTAAGAGAATTTAACCAATGAAATCTATTAACTACAGTATTAAAGAGCACTTAATGATATTGCAATACCAAGAACAACCAAGAGAAAAATTATTTCTAGCAGTTTTCTGTGATTGCAAGTTTACTGTAGGGGAAATGAGATTTATTTCCAATACAGTTACTTACCTCGCTATTCTTGAATTGACTGCCCTCTTGTGTGCAAATTTTTTGCTTATCACTAGCCTTGAACTCCTACCTAATTCCACATGTATACCACGTGGTTTAGCTGTGTTTCAGCATGCAAATTAACATGCAACAACCCTCCACCAATAGGAGGGTGGCATACCCTCCTATTGCAGCTGATTCCCTCTATGCAGTTGAACCCAATCTTCACAGTCGATTTGACATGACAGTGTTAAGACCTAGTGTTTGATTTCAGACATTCTTTTCAAGCATAATTTGCTCACCTCCATTTCTTCCTCACAACACAACTTCAATATTTGTTGTCCATTCACCTGTTGTCCGAGGCTGTCTGTTGTCTGTTATTCTCCTGAGAGTTTTTCAGTGGAAACCTGTACTCTCCTACTCACCAACTTGTCCAGATTGTCTTTGTCTGCCCTTTCCCTCCACACTTGGCTCCTGTGTTTTTGGGATCTCTTGAATCGGGATGCTTTCTTGATGCATCTGCATCTCCTCCTGACTTTCTTGTTAAATCTTTGATCAACCCATTTCCTGAGATCTATGATCTTTGGTGGGTTTCCAGACACTTTCCCTATCTTCCCATTGTCCCGATCTCCTCCACCAATTTTCATTTCACATCCTTCTCTTTTCTCTCCTTCACTGGTTCGTACTTTCCAGACCATGTCTACATATCATACCATTGTTCACCGATGTTCTGTATGATGTCAACATTACCAGCGAATACCCTATCAAGTTGGGTCCTGTGAGAGCCAAGCTCGCTTATTTCTCAGAGATGTGGGAGACTTTAACCACCAACCTTTTGGTCATATGAGTTTTGTCAGAAGAACTCTCCTTTAATTTCCTCCCACCTCATTCTCTGTTCCAATTCTGTTCCTACCCCCTTTAAGATCCCATTTCCCACCAGCAGTTAAAGTGCTTCTCGTCAAGTGTGCCATCAGGCATGTTTTTCCTGTGCTTCCAGGGTTCTATTCCCAACGTTTTTTTGCCCCCAAAGAAGACCACGATTGGCATCCAGTGATCGTCTTCTTCTGTCTGAATTGCTTTCTCGAAATGTCTTGGTTCACCATGGAATCCTAACTGTATCTCAGATGAGCCTTTCTTCCAGGGCTTTGGATGACAAGGTTAAACATGTCCACTGCTTATCTTCACATCCCTATTGTTCAGACTTCATGCAATTTTTTCATTTTGTCCACAAGAATAATGTTTATCAAATCTAAGCTCTTCCTTTCGGGCTGGCATTCGTACGCTATTATTTCTGTCAGGTGGTGCAGTAATTTGCTTGATTCTTTCATTCTCTTGACACTATCTGGTTCCATACTTTGCAGAGTCTTCCTCACACACCAAACTTTTCCTCAGAGAAGCTGATTGGGTAGGTTAGTTTATCAAGGTGGAAAAGTCCATTATCCACTCCATTCAATATTTTGTTCATCTGGGGTGTTTTTTTAACTCCTATCTCAGTCGAGCCCAGCCTTCTCATCTTCGTCTGCTATTCAAGGAGTTTTTAGTTCAAAGAGCACTATCAGCACCTTCTCTCCTTGCATGAGAGGTTCTGTCTTTTTTGGGGACTTGGGCATCACTGGAGGCTCATATCCTTCTTGGCCATGCTCATATGTCCCTTTCAATGGGTACTGCAAGTTCATTGGCACTTCATCAGGGACCCTCTGGATTTCCTTTTTCTCTTCAGTCCAACTTTCTCTAGTGCTTAGACAGGAACAGCACAACAGTGGGGATAATTATTACTTCTACCCATCCGAATGGCAATGTCTTCACAGATACCTCATTGTCAGGATGGGGTGCATGCTGCATTACATGGGAGATCTCAGGCTGTTGGTCTCAGGAGTTAAGCCTTCACATCAACTTTTTGGTACTCCTTCCTGTTCGTTGGGCGATGGTTCATTTTCTGTCATCTCTGCAGGGCATGAGTTATGATTCATTCCATCAACTTGATGATTGTCTCATACATCACCAGTCAAGGGGCACTAGATCCAGTCCTTATGTTCCTGCACTCTATACCTCCTTTTTTTGGGCTCACAGCCATCAAATCTGTTTGCTGGCTTGACACATACCAGGTGCCCTCAATCTTTTCGTGGATCGTTTATCCAAACCTGACAAGATTCTACCCACAGAGTGGTCTTTGGAACCCCAGGTATTCCGATGGCTATGTTCTCAGTTGGATACTTCCCAACTGGATGAATTTCCATCTCATTTAAATGCTAAGCTTCCTCTCTTTTGGTCCCCAGTTCCACATCCTTTGGTCAATGTATTCATCCAGGATTGGATGGATCTTTCCTTTATGCATACCCTAACATCTCTCTTCTATCCCAAATAATTTCTCTCATCCAATCCAGAATTTGTCAGGTCCTTCTTGTGGCTCCTTTCTTTCTGACCCAACTGTAATCTTCATTCCTGTTCCTTTTCCAGGAACAACTTCAGGGGTGCTTCATCCCTCCGTTCCTAAACTCTAGCTGCTTATGTAGCTTTTGTCCGGTACCTTTCGAGGGGTTAAGGACTATCCATGCATATAGCATCTCTGTTGTCCCACATTGTCTGTGTATCAACGTAAGTGGAGAATATTCTGTCATTAGTCTATCCATCATGGATTCTCCCCTTCCTCAGTTATCTGTTATTACATGGTTGTTTGACAAGGATCTGTCCTTTTCAAACATTGCAAGCTATAGAACAACCCTGCCATCTCTCTTCCCTTTTCCAATTTTTGCCCTGTATTTTCCTCTCCAGTTATTTTCATACCTTCTGTATCCCATATTTACTTCTGCTCTGATCCAGATCATCTCCTGTGTCTGGTCTGTGCTTTACGGTGTTACTTGTTGTGCATGGCACCTTTCTGTGGCTCTCAATCCCATTTGTTTATCCATTGGAATCCATTCATTTTTTGTAATATTTCTACTGTCACCCTTACCAGAGGGGTTTGTCAGGTTACCTGTATTGTGTATTCATCCCTTTCTCCTGAATGTTGGCAGTTGTTCTGTGTATCATCACATATGATTTGTCACCTCCTAATGTTTTTGGCTGCTCATTTCCATTGTTCTTAGGAGGAGATGATCCAGATTGGCATGTGGACCACTCCCCACACCTTAGTATCTTGCTACTTGCACCATCTGGTGGTTTTCTGCTCAGCTGGATATTGTCTTCCTCCTGTAACCATTCTCCATGGGTCAGTACAACTCTAAATGCATAAGTTATTTTTGTTTAATTTGTTTTCAGGGGCCTACTTAACATGTTACGGATCCCACTCTGTGGCAAATGGATGGCTGTCCAGGTATACTGATATCCAAATTCCACACCATGAGATCTATAAGGTCTATCACACTCACTTTTGAGATGGGTTGTTCCATAAGACCACTTGTAGGTTCTTCCTTACTGTATATTGCATCATGAATATGTTCATACTGGACCATACACTCAGGACTAACAAGAGTAAAGCAGAAAGAGATTGCTGCCCATCTCTAACATTCCTTAGATTGCCAGAATTGGGAAAAGTCTGCTTTTCAAAATAGGGTTTCATGGTCACCCATTGTACCTTCTCCGATGATGTGTTCCTCTGGAATGCATTTATCCCCCCTCCTTACAGTAAAGTATGGGAGTCCTAACACATTTCAGCTCCTAGTTGCATTCTGCCTGTGTAGAAGGTATATCCTCCTGCACTGGGTCTGATGTTTTATTCTAGATTCTGCCTGACCAGACTGGATTTTTCTGTCTATTTTGCAGTTTGCCCCTCTGGCTGAGAACCCTCCCTCCTACTGCCACTTGAATGTTGGTTGCTGTTTGACTGGTTTTGGTTGTAGCTGGACCAGCCAATATAAGTCTTGCACATGTGAGTGGGCTGGGAACTTCCTCCTGTCACAGACTGGATGTTACATCCCCAATGCTGATTAGTTTAGGTTCTTCCCTTCTGATAAATGGTCAAGTTCCTCTCAGTGCCACTGGTCTGAACTGGAGTTGACCTCCCCATTATGGTCTGACACGCCCAAGCCACTCTACACTGATTCGTCTTCGTTGTGGATTTGGGATGGATTACTTGTTCTGCCCTTTGATTGTGACAAAACACCAGTTGGCTCCATTTGGGTGAAAAGTATACCTGGTTCGGATGTGGTACAGTCTGTCACTAGTGTATTTCCTTTACATAAAGTTG